GATATATATATATATACTTATTTATTTGATATTTTCACAAAAGGGCTCAGAAAGAGTAAGATAAGAAAGAAAACAGAAAAGTGTAAATAATAAAGAATACACAATAAAGAAAATACTCTGGACATTTGGAATTTTCACAAACACTTCTGCAGGATTTTTTTTTACGAAGAACGAAGACAAAGGAACAAGAAAAACAGCTGATGGTAGTCCACTAACACTGCACAAACTTTGTAGAAAGAGAAAAGAGACAAAATGTAACAATGTATAAGCCAGCTAGCTGAACTAACAAAGCTTACAGATTTTTGAGTGTTGGTGAATTTGACTGTGCTTACATTCATTCACATGTTGCAGTGTGTGTGCCTTCTGTTGAGTGCCTCTTCTGTTGCCTATAATGGCAAAAGGCAATATGTAACATACTCAATATAATCATACATCCCGAAAAAATGTAACCACTTGGATCACTTTTTTTCACATGAAAATGTTCCAAAGCCACACGTTTCGTGTGTGCTTCACATGTGATTTTAACACTTGAAACTCGCGTGACGCTCGTGCTTTTTTTTTGTAAGGGTCAAATCAGAAGCTTATCTTTGCACTGAAAAAAATCTGCATTCATACATATACTACATTTAAGTTGTTAAAAATATTTATCAACAAATTTAATGAATGAGATGAATAACAAACACTTTCTGACACTGGATATATACAGTGAAAACATGTACCTTGATAGCATTTTGTGTTCATCATTTAGTTTTTCCCGGAATGAAGCTCTTAGAAACTTCCGTGGTGTTTCTGGAAATCGACCCTGAACAGTGTCTGTATTAAAAAAATAATAATAATAAAAAGAGAGAATTTAAGAGGTACAGGAAAAATCACCTGCAAGGTCCTGTAGGATCCCACAGGATTTTCGTGATCATTTTCTATGATCACGATGATGCTACAAGAATCTCACAGAAATCCTACAGGAATCCCACAGGAATGCTACAGGAATACCACAGAAATCCTTCTTTTTGCAAGGATCGAATCAGAAGCTTATCTTTGCACTGAAAAAAATCTGCATTCATACATATACTACATTTAAGTTGTTAAAAATATTTATCAACAAATTTAATGAATGAGATGAATAACAAACACTTTCTGACACTGGATATATACAGTGAAAACATGTACCTTGATAGCATTTTGTGTTCATCATTTAGTTTTTCCCGGAATGAAGCTCTTAGAAACTTCCGTGGTGTTTCTGGGAATTGACCCTGAACAGTGTCTGTATTAAAAAAAATTATAATAATAAAAAGAGAGAATTTAAGAGGTACTAAGAAATTGGGACTACTAAATTAGTTTTTAGATATATTTTTTAAAATATATAGATATCCCTTGTTAGCCACTTACCTAAAATAAGTTCCACTTTAACTGGATCTAAGAGTGGCTTGGGCTGTGATCCTTTGTTGGCATTACCAGGTTTTCCTGATAAGCCATGTGTAGCCAGCATATTCCTCCCGAAAACAGCCACTGCCAAATCTTTGATCATAGCTGACCATGAACTACCTCCTCTTCCACATGCCTGGAATGTCTCTTTGGTGATGTTTAGTTTTCTTTGGATTTCAACCTGTGCAATATATCAAATAAATGGCAAGAATTACCAAAGAGCATGCAACAAACTTTCATTTTTTTGGAAAACATGAGAGTGAGTAAATAATGACAATTAATTTCTCTCTCTTTTTTTTATTTGGATGAACTGTTCCTGTCATACCTAAAAAAAAATAAAAAAAAAGTTAGTGAGTGATTACATGAGTATGTGACTGATTAGCTGGACGAGGAGCAGGTTTAGGAGATGCAGGTGGTGGACAGGTTTGTGCAACAGATCTGCTTCTATTTGGCAACAACTCCTCAAATCTGTTAAAATGTCTAAATAGGGAAAAACAGGACAAAAGTTCACATCAGTAAAAACATAGAAGGGAAGTGTTTTTATTTTTTATGAGGGAAACTTATGTAACTACCTTTTTGTAGTTTAAAGTTTAGTGCCTTTAGTTCCTGATTTTCAGCTTTCAAGGCCTTGATTTCTCTTCTAAGTTCATTCAGTTCGTTGTTTTCTTTGGATTTTTTTGAACAACAGTTTGTCCTTCTGTGGTTCGTCAACCTAAAAAGTAAATAAATAAATAACATTTTATGCAACAATATATATATTTTTAATGATCTTCCCATTCTTTTCTCATCTTCTTATCACTAGGGAAGCAGTGAAAACTTCTTTTGTTGTCCTTCGACTGAAAATTACAACCAAAAGCCGCACAGTGTGGCATCGTATCAGTATTCTGAGTTGTGTTGCGGTAACACTAACAACAGATACAGCGTCAGTAGCTCACCGAGTGCAACCATTTGACGTCATTAAAATAATGGCACCCCTCATAGTCCAAAATATGTATAAAACGATGTGGATTTTTTAAATAACATAAATCTTTCATGGGTTTTCTACTACATATTTCAGTAAGAGACACATCATTTACATTATTTTAAGCCATACAAGTCTTAATACCCGGGGTTCCCTTTAAGACAAGTCATGTCACTCAGTGGCCATCTTTGAAACGCCTTTCGGGCATACAAGTGCAGCTCCTATCACTTTAAATGGGCAAACATCAATTTCTCCAAAACTGTTTGCCAAGTTTAATATTAATGTTGTTGTTTCTTTTGCTCAAATAGCGTTAAAAGAGCCTATTATTCAGGCTAGACCAGCCAGTGCGTATGTACAGTCCTGAGCGCACCTCTCAGAACACTGACTATAGTAACCGGGACTTCTAGTGGCAGCTGCAGTGATGCGCTGACTTTACCGATTAGCGATTGGCTCTTTTACTCAGAAGGCGGGGCTTCGTTCGATAGAGCGGCCATATTGAGCTTTGCATTTTTCCCAAGAGGCAACCTTCCGGCCTCTCTCTTGAAACCAACACGGAAGTGACTTAAACTGCAATTCATCGACTGGCCGCTAGAGACTGGCTCCAAAAGGGAGTCAGTCCCATAGACCCCCCATGTTAAAATGCCCAACTTTACAGCAGAAAAAAATATGTTTACAGCCTGGTACAAAAAGTGGTTTTGGTCTATATAGCTAATTTTGCCCTTCATAACAACTGTGAGGGGGGTGATTTTTTTATAACTCATCCGTTGAAATTATATTAAGCCTTAAAGTTCTGCATAATTAAGGGCGTGGCCTCTTGAGTGACAGGTGGATTGCCGCTGCTGTCACCACCGTCGAGTTAGGCGGGCGTGGTTTCAATAACCAGCTCCACCCACATCCCGCCTCTTTGCCCATTTTCCATTATCCGGGAGTATAAATGGAGACGGCCAGCTCCGCCCACTTTCATGGACACTACGTCTATGTTTTTTCCCCATTCAAAACTATACGAGTGACACGTCTTGGGTATTCTATAGTCTTTGATAAAATTTACAAATGGCCGCGCCCGCTCTATAAGGTGGATAGATGTTTTGTGAACCGTCTTTGGCGCGTTTTTGATCATCTTCCGTTGTCAATGTCATCACCACTCGGATTACAGACACACTGGACATTTGTGTTGTTGTTGTTGTGAATTGCTCCACTGAAAATTGCAGGTGGATCAGCACCTAGAGATGACCTCTACAGCCCTGAATTTCAGCGGAGACCAGGACAACTAGATGAGCCCCAGAGACAGATCCCCAGTGAAGACCTTGTCTCCTAGACGGCCACCGGGACAAGACCACAGGAACCAGATGAGTCCTCTGCACAATGTGACTTTGCTGCAGCCTGGAATTGAACTGCTGGTTTCGTCTGGCCAGAGGAGAACTGCCCCCCCGACTGAGCCTGTTTTCTCCCAAGGTTTTTTCTCCATTCTGTCACCGATGGAGTTTTGGTTCCTTTGGTTCCACTGTCGCCTCTGGCTTGCTTAGTTGGGGACACTTAATTTCCAACGATATCGTCGACTTGATTGCACAGACACTATTTAAACTGAACTGAGCTGACAGCAGTTTTGTTTTAGTTTCTTCTCACCATGTTTTCTGGTTATGTATTTGAGAGAAGTGTGCAAAACAGCTGTGTCTGTCAGTCCGTAAACTCACACACTAAAGTGTCCACTAGGTGTCAGTCTCTTACAGAAAGTCGGAGTTAGTTGCTGTGAGCAAGATACACACAAACTAAAAGATCAAGTCAACATGAAAAAGGTCACCCAATGTGTTTTCTAAATCAATAACCTTTTGCTTTATATTTTTCTTTCTAGCATCTTTAAACAAATGCTGATGGAGTTGTTCTCAGAATTTACTTCACTTTTCTAAGCCATTTTTGAAATGCCTTATAAATGTTCTGGTCATTTATGGATGAATGAAGTCGGTAGTCAAGTTGACACAGGCATCCTAGCAGAGTAATCACAGGTGTTACAGGTTACAGTAACTATGAACATGTTCCAACTAAAAATAGAATTGAATGTAAATTGCATTTATTTATATAGCACTTTATACAATACACAGGATTACAGTAATACACAGGAAGATAACATTGGTAATGTTATTAATGTAAAATTTTAGCTTTAAAGCAGCTCTACAGCAGACAATAATGTCATTATTCAGTCAAGTCACCTTTATTTGTATAGCGCTTTATACAATACTTTATACAGTACAATTCTATATTCTGATATAAAAGGCAGTGATGGTGTGAAAGTGCACTTATAGCCAAAGGCTGATTGTTTGAAAGCATGTTTTGCTAAAGGCTAAGAGCACAACAGGGTCGTGGGGTCAGTCTCAAAAGAATAACAACTGTCAGAGAACATGGACTGAGTTTAAGAGCTGTGATTTTGGTGGAAATGGGAGAAATTGTCCAGAATTGTAACATCAACAGTTCTTTAGAAGTTCAGCCTCTGTTGAAGAGGGGTAAAACTAATGACATTATGCTCTGTCTTTACATTTATTTTGAAAGATGAAGCTCGCGATTATAATAAGGGCACATTACATTTCCGACGAGTGCTTGCGGTGTTCAGCCAATCACAATGCACTGGGTCAGCTGGCCAATCAGAGCAGACTGCGCTTGTCGGAAGGAGGGACTTTGTAGAAAACGAAGCGTTTGACAGAGGCGGGGCATAGAGGACCTACAATAATGTACAGTATTTGAAAAATAATGTGTTTTGAACCTTAAAGCATGTCAACACATTCTGTTACACCAAATACACAAAATAATGATCTTTAAAAAAGCATCATATGACCCCTTTAAAATGTTCTCAGGAGGGAGGAGAACCCCCATGTACAGTATGACAGTGAGTTCACCCCTGCAGCTAATTTCTAATCAGTTAATGGAGTAGTTCACCCAAAAAATTCACTGACATTCAGTCCATCCAAAATGTAGACGAGTTAGATTTTTTTTTCATCAGACCAGATTTGAATAAATTTGGATGCCATCAGAATAGATGATTAAAGCATCACAATAATTCACAAGTAATCCACATGACTCCAGTCTATCAAATTCACTGCAGAGGATCCATTGGTGAGCAGAGGACATGATGCTAAATTTCCCAAAATCTGTTCTGATAAAGACTCATCTACATAATTTTAATCAAGTTTTCATTTCAAATTTTTAAACTCTCCATGTTACACTCCTCAATCTCCACTACACTTTTACTTTAGTTGTACTACACTCCATATGGTTTTACATTTGGGAAGAACCCAAATGTGTGTAAAAACTTGAATTAAAATCTCTCTGTCCAATAATAAATTGCGTTCTATACGTAGGTTCAGAAGGAGGTTCAGAAGGAGCCTAATAATTCAGTCAATCATTATTACGAGTGAATATAAACAGCAGTCATTGCACTGTCCCAGTGAAAATTCTTACGGCATCCCTCTGCCTTCCCATCTCCTCCTCTATTTCTCATTCTTCCTCCACATAGTACCATTATTGGTTGGCACTCGAGCTGAGACTGTGCTGTATACTGTGATGTACATTCATAACTGTCAACTCCTATTTCAGGCCCATTGGACAGTCATCTATATATTCAAAACACTTACCACCAGGCAAAAAAAGAAAAAAGAAAATGTTTATCTATATATCTTGATTTGAATGAGAACATTTCCTTGCTAAAAACAAAATATCTCCAGATCTGAATTAAAGAAATGTTATAGGTTCAGTGCAGGCTCTGGTAACTACATCTGCAGAGGTGTGAAGTGATGGTACTTCATCACTATATTTATGTATTATTCTGGTAAATGAAACCGAATACTTAAGATATGCATCATAACTTATGACAGCATCACCTATGGTCATGTAATTTGGGTAGTGATCCGAAATAACGAGACTGCAGATACAAGTGGCTGAAATGATCCTCCTTTAAATGGTGTCTGGTGCAAAACATCTTAGTTATGTATGCAACCTTGGTTCCCAGAGTAAGGAACGAGATGCTGTGTCAGTAGCTGACGCTATGGGATCACCCTCTAGGTGTGACAATTGTCTGAAGCCCATATAGGAGCATGCCGGTTCATTGACTGATGGTGCTTGCGCCATCCACTGAGGCACTACATCACGTAAAATTCAAAAGGACGTACTTGCACCATCACCCCTAAGATTCCAATGAAGAAAGAAAAGCAGGACTGAGGAGTATGTCTCGTTCCCTACTGTCAGGATTATGTTTAGTTTGTCTGTTTTTTAGTTTTTTTGCTTGCCTGCCTGCTTATCTGAGTTCCTTGTTTGTTGCCTTGGTTACGGTTTTGAGTTACACACCTGTTTGTAGTTGAGTTGTGCATTATCTTGTTCCCTTCCTTAGTACTTCAGTGTTTATATACTCCTCTTTTTGTATCCTTGGTGATCCGTTCTTGTCTATGAATGTTTTGGAGAGGTGCACACAGGCATTTTTGGACC